TAATCCGTAATTCAATTGAAAACTTGAGGTAATTGATTCAGCTGTGTAAGAATTACAAGCAGTGAAAAGTGTTGAGTAGAGTCTGAGCGGGCCGCTCGTTCTCCTCCGCTCAAAGAACGAGCAGCGAACAGCCTGCGTCCTCTAGCCTCTTCAGCGCTGCTAAACACTAGGGCTTCGGCTTCAAAATTCGAATACAATTCTAAAATTTAAAAAATATATATATTCAAACACATATTAGACAGCCCTTACAATTCAAAATGTATTAAAAAACTGCAAATAAAATAGTTAGCTCCCAAAGGTTTCACCGGGACGCGCTAGGCAGGTAACAGCTAAGCTAGCTAGCTCCCTGGAACTACGATCGCTTTTTGTCACATTAAAATAGTAATTTGGTCATGAAAACGATAACAAGAAATTCTGAAAAAGTCCGTGCATGTGTGTTAAGGATGTATATGTATACTGTATTGTCCGATTAACATTTAATGGCGTTGATTGATAGATATGTAGTTGTTTATTGAGCGTGGCTAGCTCCGCTAGCTTCTCCCGTTGTACTTGCGGAGTAATGGCAGTATTTTACACACCTGAATTACAAACAGAGATTGCATTGTCAAAGGGCAGTGGTCATTATTGATTTGAGAGTTCTGTTATCAAGAAAAAATGATCAGTAGAATTACATTCAAGTCAATGGAGTGTTCTACTGCTGTGAGGAGCTGTATAATAAATTATAATTAAATATTCGAATATATTCTAATGTTTTAATGAATACATTTGGATGCGAAACTAGCAGTATTCTTTTACCTATATATTGTGTTAGCAGTGCGTTGCTTTAGTACCATTTCATCAGTGATTGTTGTACAGCTTACAAGAAGTTTACGATCTGATCATACATGTCAGATCGCAAATTGAACTAGATGGCTCCGTGTTATGAGAGCGTAGGAGAAATGAGAAGCCATTGAGCGAGTTGGGGGGCGGTGCTAAACATTCAAACCTTGCAGAAACGGGTATAGCGCCTTTAAGTGTGAATGGAACGCCCTAAGTGTGCATACAGTGTATAGGACCTCATAAGTGAGTTTGTGAGAGTTTTCCCACGGGTCCGTCCGCCAAGGACTCTCCTCGTTAGAGTTAACAGAGCCCTGAGCCTGAATATTAAAGCCACAGTGATTATAACCATACAGGAAGTAAGTAAGTCATCTTTATTTATATGCCTCCTTTCACAGATCAGAGTCACAAAGCGGTTTACAATTGTGGGCATTTGTCTCCCACTCCACACAAGGGTTGGAGCGGGGTCGCCAATACAGGAGGCGCATGCCAGACCTATTGAACATGTTTTTAGTGGTAGGGGAAACCGAAGCGCCCCGGAGAAAACCTACGCAGACACAGGGAGAACATGCAAACTCCACTCAGAAAGGCCCTGTTCAAACCGAGATTCGAACCCAGGACCTTCTTGCTGAGAAGCGTGAGTGCTATCCACTCAGTCACTGTGCCGCCATATAAAAAGTCATCACAGACTGTATCTGTTTAGAGCGATCTGGAATGTAGGAAGAGAAATTGGAAGGTTAGAAGGAACACTGGCTACAGCCTTCGATGTTCTCTGTTGTGGTGTCGAATATGCAAATCAATTTCCACCTGATCTGCGAGGCTCGCTACACTGCTGTCTCTGGTCAGGACCCTGGGCTGATGTTGTACTTCTGGATCCAGTGAGGTTCTGGGGTTGCCTCACTTCTTCAGTTCAAACTGAACTTATATTTTTAGCAAACCAATGAGTTTTCCCCTGATGGAGTGATCAGGACAGTTGAAAATGTCTCATGAGGACGGAAAGGCTCCATCGTAAGGGCCCATAATCCCAAAAGTGTAATGTGAACTTCAGCAGTGTGACTGACCCTGATCCTTCTCCATTGTTTCATGGCCTGAGTGTCCACATCCGGAGCTTAGCTACCCAACATCTGTACCATCTGCCTGCGCTGATTACACTCTGAACACACACACACACACACACACACACACACACACACACACACACACACACACACACTGATGAGGCTCTGATGGGCTCTGAGAGAAGCCTAATGTCTCACAATAATGACAAAGAACAGCGGTGACACTCAGTTGTTCAATTAGTTCACATTGGTCAATCTCAAAACACTAAGATGAAGGAACTGTTCATGGTAAATATGACAATGGTTGTACAGAGGTAACTGGTTTCAGAGCAGAAGCTGAAGACAGATGTGAGACCACTGCATTAAGACGTGGGTGACTTGACCTGTCACAGATGTTTATACAATGTTTGAGGGATTATTCTCAAATATTTCAATTCCTTGACCTCCTGAATGGGTTTCATGGTTTAATCTAGGCTGAAATATGCTGTAATTATCTGTTTTTGGGAGGTATAGGCAATAGTTGATGCTTTGCACCAGGCAATGTCAAACTCAGGTTGTAGGGCCAAATCCGGCCCACAAGACCAATTTTAGAGATTTTTAATTATAATTTCTAAATTAACTTCGAGCATTGGTTCGAAATGGGCTACTATGGCATGTTATGCTTCATTTTAAAAGTGTATACGTGTATCATCAGGAAAACAACCACATAATTGAATCTGTTCAATGATAATTTTTGAATATTAAACTTTCAGTCTTCAAATACATTTTTTGATATTTGACCCAGATGTGGTTGCATCTAAACCTACCAGAAAACTACTACAATATTTTGGCCCCAACCAGCTCTTATGTTTTTTAATTTGGCCCCCGACCATAACTACATGGACACCCCTGAAATCAGCTCAAATGGTGCTGATTATACTTGAAGGACTTGTACAGGTGTCTCCCCGGATCATAAACCGACTGACGATTGCCAACGTCACAATAGTGATTGCCGAATGCAGAAGAAGCTGGTTTAAATATGAGCTCGCTGGAGCCAATTTTCTCATATGGGCATTTGTGCAGATAGCTTTAATTTTCACGCTGTAACAGTAGCAGCTTTGCTGCTATGACAAGCTGGAGATTTTCCCCGTGAATGAAGGCTTCTGATTAGTCAAACTCTTGACTTTTTTCAGCATTTTCAAAGGCAATATAAATATGAATATGAAAATCCTAGTGAGCACTTAACCAAGGATTTTAAGGCAAAAAATGGTGAGTGCGACACAGTTAGGAGTTTAGTCAATAGGAGCCAGAGTGAGTCAGAGCAAAACTTGAGTACTTCCCTATTGGCCTAGATTAGGTTGACATTGTCCATCTATATACAGTCTTTGACCCAAACTCACGTTTGAAAAAAATAGTTTTGAAATCTGTTGGTTCTGGCTGATCAAGTATAGATACAATAATATGATGGGTATGATGCAACATGGACATAGATGGAGGAAGGAGTGACGTACCAGCCAGGTCTGTGGAGATGCAAGATGAATTTGGAGTTCTGTTTTTCCCCTTTACGTTGGAATGAAAGGCTTTTACTTTTCTCATGGCTTCAGTGACTTTTAACTTTGTGCGACAACAAAATAGTAAAGTAACCTGAAGGTTGAGTCCTTTAGGAAATTACATATACAGGATCACTTTAGAATTAATGTGTAACCAACCTCTTTAACACGGCATTTACTTTATTATTAAAGCTGGGGTACCTAACTCTCAAACCACAAATATAAAGAAATCCATGTCAAAAGCTCCAGGCTAAAACAGTTTGGTTCTATCACTAGCTTTTTACAATTGTTTTTTGTTTATTTTGTCAGATAGAGGACCACCCTCACTCAGCCAATCAGCTCTCAACCCAAAGAGTCAAATAGTGACTCACTGGGCTCTTTCTTACAACGATGCTAATGATAGTAACGTTTTCTAGGATGCATGTCATTTTGTTTGGTTTTATTGTCTCTTGGGGGCTAATACTTTAGCTGTATGTATCTTTTGTAGTATTTGAAATGTTTGTATTTAAACTTGTACTTTTTCCCATTTTTTATAATGGGACTTTTTATATTTTTATTTTGTTTACAGGGTTTTTGATCTTTTCAGTGTTTTGTAGCACTTTTTGTTTATTGTATGCATAGTGTGATAGCGGTGTAATAGTGTAAAAGAGGTTTTATCTTTTTGGTGTTTTGTAGCACTTTGTTATTTCATGATATGCAGTCCCTCACAATGGTTTTAGACATTGTAGGATATCTAGTTTTCTCTGTTAGACAAAGTGTATGTTATTAACGGATGCTGAGGAGCACAGAAAGTAGCACAACTAAACATGTGGAGGCAGCGTTTCAGATTTATGCAGCTAAAATCTGGAACAATCTGAAAATGTGAAGCAGAGGTCCACACTGGCAGTTTTCAAATCCAGGTTAAAAACAGTTCTGTTTAGCTGTGAATACAACTGAAGGATTGTATCTTTACTCTTTTAATGCACTACGGCTATTTATGATTTTAATCCTGTATGTGATTTTATTCTGTTTAGCTACTACTTACTTTGTATATTTGTGTGTGCTCCCTGTGTGCCCTTACTGTCTTGTGTGTACGCTGCAACATTGAAATTTTCCCACTGCGGGACGAATACAGTATCTCTTATGTCTTGTGATCTTAATCTTTGTTTTTAATTGATTTGTTTAATATATATTTAGATTTTAATGATTTGATTTGATTAGATAAGATAGACTTTTTGATCTCACACTGGAGAAATTTACATTTGTTATGGATAGAATCACTATCTATCTGTGATAGGTTAAAAATATAGTCTGTGCAGGATTTGGTTATGTACAATAAAAAAGTGACAGAAAGTGTGGCAATAACAGTACAGGCTTTTCAGTTCTAGTGCATCAGTGACTTAAAGTGACTTATTGTACAGTCTCACAACAGTGGGGATATGATGTGATATGGGTTGTGAGGCGCTTTGTATTGCCTTGAAGGCGCTCTACAAATAAAAGTTGATTGATTAATTGATTAAACGAAGAATTCTGGTACCCAAGCTTTAAAATCGCACGCCAACTTCAGAGCACAGAGTCTGACCATCTCCCAGCCCAGTCCAGTGATGATGACACGTACCTGTACCAGTCGAGTCCGCGCGTGTAGTGGCGGTCAAAGAAGTGCGGTTCGGAGCCCAGTGCGCGGATGTCCGGGTGCAGCCGCAGGAACTCCAGCAGGGCCCGGGTGCCACCTTTCTTCACCCCGATGATGAGTGCGTGGGGCAGCCTCCGGGCGGCCGTGTACTCCCTCCTCTCCAGTGCGCCTTGCACACCTCGTCCATCTGCGTCCTCCCGTGACGCGTTCTGCACCTGGCTCACGGGCTGACTGACGCCATATCCTTGAGGCTCCGTTAACAGATACACCAGCGAGAAGACCATGACGCCCAGGGACGAGGCGAGGGCGAGGCGGTGGGTCGGGGCCATCGCAGCGGGCCATGGCGTCACAGCTGCCGGCGCTCCACCGCTCCTCCGCGTGGCATCATCCCACAGCAACTTCCCAAAGACGCGCGTGACTGTACCCAAAAGTCCGTGCACGTGTTCAAAGTGATGGAACAGCAACTCTAGTACAAGCGCCTGAGAACCGGCCGCGCGTCTCCAACACTGTCCTGGACACGCTGCGGTGTGCGCTCCTGTACGCGGGATTACTGCATGTGCATGTCCCGGGACAGGCTCTGCTCCCCCGCCCCTCCTTCTCTCTCTCTCGGCTGGGACCTTTAATAACTCGTGCTTTATTTGTCGAGGATCACATGAATATTACGTTATTACGCCATTGTTTACTTCAATCAGCGCTGTCATTTGGATATGGGCCATTTCATCGAACGCACAAATACATTTATGTGATGAAAGAGCCGTAGAGCTGGTGTTATAGGATTTATGTTTCCATTTTCCCAGACACGTTTGAATAAACCTTTCCTGGTTTTGCCCCAGTTTTGAAGTGGGAAATAAGGAAACTCAAAAAATGAGTATAGTATTTAAACTCATCATTTTGTCTGGTCTTGAACATGACTTCAATCTTTACAGTGGCAATGTAAGAATAATGAATTACAGGTAGTCTATAACCATAAAACTATAATGTACACCCATTTGAAAAACTATTTTATTCTTATTTGATACATTTGTTTAAAAAGGCAGGCTTTTCCGGTTATTGGCATAGATCAGGGATGTCAAAGTCAAATACATCAGAAGCCAAAAAAAAAAATGCTGCAAGGTTCAATGTTTATTAAACATTAAATAACATTTAAGCATTGAATAAAGACCCAACGTAGTGTACCGTATTTCATTTAATGATTCAATTAATAATCCAATATTTGTTTATGGCTCTGTCAGTCATTTCAAGTTCACAGACTCACAGAGAAAAACAAACTTCTTTCAAAGAGAAAACACGTCCTGAAGATTAAATTAATAATCCTACATTTTCTTATGGCTTTGTGCAGCTGGTTCTATTAACAAATACAGAAACAAAACAAAAACAATACGATTTATTTCTACTGCATGTACGCTGCATGTGACCCAGATCCTATTGAGTCAAGGAAAACAGATGCATTTAAGAGCGCAGGGGAACGAAACTGCTTCTATAAGAAATGGATGTTGTTGGAACATAGAGGCCACTCCCTCGTGTTGATCAATGTGATGAGGCACACAATCCCTCTGCGTGTGTCATTGCTTGGTTTTGGCTTCATTTTGTGGAGCAAAAGCAGGAAACATGGAACATTTAATTGAGCCGCAGAAATGAAAGGACTTGTGCCTGCCTGAGTGAAAATCAAATACTCAAAGTAACAACATGTGTGATTACATGTGACACAGTAAGTGTGTGGAGACTGGACCTCACAGCGTCATGGAGACTGGACCTCACAGTGTCATGGAGACTGGACCTCACAGTGTCATGGAGACTGGACCTCACAGTGTCATGAAGACTGGACCTCACAGTGTCACGGAGACTGGACCTCACAGTGTCACGGAGACTGGACCTCACAGCGTTGGGACTGTCCTCATTGAAGATGTGTCTTAGCAGGACGTGCAGCCTCTGGTCTGCTCCAATCACATAATGAGCTTAGCACTTCAGTCAGGCTAACTCCTGACCCACTCCAGACCTACTCCAGACCCAGTCCTGACCTTATCCTGACCCAGTCCTGACACATTACAGAGCCAGTCCACACCCAGTTCTGATCCAGTCCTCAACCACTACACACCCAGTCCTGCCCATTGAAAGTGTATTGTGAGTATATAGTTCAGAACATAATTTCATCATAGTTGTAAAAAACAAAGTGAGTTCAATTCAATTAAATGTTTTCTTGTATTGTCCTAAATCACAGCAGTGGTGAGTGAACGTCCTGGATCATCACCACAGTCCTTTCAGTTTGACCCTGTCAAGGCTCTACCACAGGGGTGTCAAACTCATTTTGGTCCGGGGGCCAAATACCACCTAATTGGACCTCAACTGGGCCGGACCAGAAGATGCTCTACACAAATACCCAAAAACGGTACAAAGTCCAACTTTTTGTGCACAGAAACACATTTCTTTAAAACTTCCTTTAAAACACTGTCCTTTAATGCTCGCTCACTTTTAACTCTAAATCTGTTACAAACTTAAATGTAACAGTGAGTTTTTATAGTGCAAATAATGTAATGTATTTACAATATTACATTGTAAATGGCATTTCACAATATTTATATTAATATTTGCATGTTAGCTATGTTTTAAGCCTCGTTACAGGAAAACTCACAAAGGTAAAGTAGGTAGAAAAAAGCACTTTAACACACCCCCTCAGCTTAACCATCTTCAGTGTGGTAAGGAAGTCATTTCAATGGCTGTGTTATTATCAGAGAGAAAGCATCAAACTGACCTTGATTCAGCTGAAATGAACAAAACAACTTCCATAACGTGATCTATTCTCAACGACTATGGAGGACCAAAAATGACTAAAGTATAAATAAATAAATAAATAAATAAATACAGGAATATATTAATAAATACATTCATTTTGGACAATAAAAACTAAATATTTACATTGATGTGTTAAATATGACTATGAAATCAAATAAATATACTTTTATTTAGGTTATTTATCAAAGTCTAAATTTTTTCCTTTATTTATCCATTTATTGCATATATTTATTTATGTATTTCTACATTTCTTCATTTATTTATTTATGTATTTCTACATTTGTTCATTTATTTATTTATTTATTTATGTATTTCTGTGTTGCTACATTTCTTCATTTATTTATTTATGTATTTCTACATTTCTTCATTTATTTATTTATGTATTTCTACATTTCTTCATTTATTTATTTATGTATTTCTACATTTCTTCATTTATTTATTTATGTATTTCTGTGTTGCCGTATGCTAATTAGGCGGGCGGTGCTGAACTCATTCTAGAACAGGATTGGTGGGCAGTAGGTCAGCCAGGGCAACCAGACAGAAGCAAAGTTAAGCCTAGCGTACATCGACAGAGAAACTGGAGACAAGTTGCAAGGCGGCTTTTGGCAACTGAGAGGAGATGATGGAGATGATCAGTTGAAATCGGTCGATGTGCGCGCTCTTACAACTGGAGATGAGCAGTCGGTCTCCAGTTTCAGTCAGTTGCCCGTGTTCTACTTTTCGGCAACTAGTTGTCCTCAGTTTCAGAGATATGACCCGATGTGCGCGCTCCATGCGCCGCTCTGACAACGTGCGTGTGTATTGCGTGTGTTGCGAGCCCGCAACAGTTTATGTCAGAAAACACACTGTAGTTGAGGCCAGTGTCGATGTACGCGCTGTTATTCCCGAGACTGGTCTGCTACTGGGAGTGGCCCGTTTTCGTCAGATTGTCGATGTGTGCGGGGCAGCAACTCATATGCGACGGATATAATCAGTTGCCAGTCCGATGTACGCTAAGCTTTAGCCTTCTCGGTTTGTGAGAGGATGTGAAGCTGCTGTATAGCTTCTTGAAGAGCGTCCAGCACATTTGCATCAAAGTCTACCTCTGGGTCAGCACTGTGATGAACTAAAACATTTAATAGTCTTTCCAGCCGAAAGAGTAGATAGTCCTCAGGTGCATTATGCTCAACATCATTAACATCATTTGCTAATGCTCTTAATTGATGAGCAATTGCTCCTAAAAAACTTACATTCGAAACTGCCATCATACCACACAAAAGTGCACAGAGGATCTCTAGCTAGCTAACAGAGTACCGTAATGTGAGACAGTAATGATCGAGACCAGAGTTCACGCAATCCTAACCAATCCTGTTCTAGATTGAGTTCAGCACCGCCCACCTAATTAGCATACAGGAACACAGAAATACATAAATAAATAAATGAAGAAATGTAGCGACACAGAAATACATAAATAAATAAATGAAGAAATGTAGAAATACATAAATAAATAAATGAAGAAATGTAGCGACACAGAAATACATAAATAAATAAATGAAGAAATGTAGCGACACAGAAATACATAAATAAATAAATGAAGAAATGTAGAAATACATAAATAAATAAATGAAGAAATGCAGCGACACAGAAATACATAAATAAATAAATGAAGAAATGTAGAAATACATAAATAAATATATGCAATAAATGGATAAATAAATAAAGGAAAAAATGTAGATTTTGATAAATAACCTAAATAAAAGTATATTTATTTGATTTCAGAGTAATATTTAGCATATCAATGTAAATATTTAGTTTTTATTGTCCAAAATGAATGTATTTATTAATATACTCCTGTATTTATTTATTTATTTATTTATTTATACTTTAGTCATTTTTGGTCCTCCATAAACGACTGCAGCAGTGTCTCTGTGTAAAATACAGTCAAACGTCCAAGTATCATCACCTCCATTTGCAGCTTTGTCACAACACCTGTGTTTACCATCGGCAACAGGCTGAGAGCGTAGGACCAGTACGCACTGTCCAACACACCAGCACCAGCAACAGCACCAGCAACAGCACCAGCAACAGCAGCCGCAGCGCTCAAAACTCCTCTGTGATAGTTTCAGTAACACCACAAATGAATATGCGACATCAGTAATATCAGTCTCTTATCAATGGCAACATGACGTTGGTGACAGCGTGTCATTTCTCAGACCATGTGTGCAGTCTGTATGATAGTTTTAACAAACTCTCCCTCACCGTGGGGCTGCGATGCTAGTGCTACGTTGTTAGCACTCAGGTAGCTTGTATTTACAGCAGCATCACTAACCTCTCGCTCTGGGCACAAACAGACAGCTGTTTCTTCATAGCCAGACACGTTTATCTTCTCAATTCTCCGCTCAAAGTGCCGTATTTTTCGCCGAGTTTTGCTGAGGGTGTCACTGTCAGTCACAGAACACGCTCTGGCGGGAGCCACTACAGACGCACTCGACTAGCTGCTGAGCTCAGCGCTGCG